CCGATAAAGATCTTCGTAGAATATGTAGGAACCAATATGAGCATCCAGGTTCCGCTATTGGTTATTGACCGGAAGTGAGTCTCGGTCATGTCTACATAGTTCTCGAACCCGTAGGGTCCTCACACTTAACGTTCAGTGATGATCGGTATTATGAGTTTATGTGTTTTGATGTACCGAAGGTAGTTCAGAGTCCCGGATTTGATCACGGACATGACGAGGAGTCTCGGAATGGTCGAGACATAAAGATCAATATATTGTAAGCCTATATTTGGACATCAGAATGGTTCCGAGTGGTTCGGGCATTTTTCCGGAGTACCGAGAGGTTACCGGAACCCCCTGGGGAGTATATGGGACTTATTGGGCCTTAGTGGAATAGAGGAGATGGAAGAGAAAAGAGGAAGGCGCGCCCCCCAAGCCCAATCCTAATTGGGAGGGGGTCGGCCCCCCTTTCCTTCCTCCCTCTCTCCTCCTTCCTTCCTCTCCTACTCCTACTTGGAAGGGCTCCTACTTCTACTAGGAAATGGGGGAATCCTACTCCCGAATCCGAATTGGGAAGGGGGACGACCCCCCTTTTCCTTCCTTCTTCCTCCTCCTTCTTTCTCTCCTAAAACCAAACAAGGGAAGGGGGAATCCTACTCCCCGTGGGAGTAGGACTCCCTTGGGCGCGCCTAGAGAGGCCGGCCCCTCCCCCTCCTCCACTCCTTTATATACGGGGGAGGGGGCACCCCATGGACACACAAATTGATCATTGATCTTTTAGCCATGTGCGGTGCCCCCCTCCACTATAATCCACCTCGGTAATATCGTAGCGGTGCTTAGGCGAAGCCCTGTTCTGGTAGCAACATCATCACCGTCATCACGCCGTCGTGCTGATGAAACTCTCCCTCGAAACTCTACTGGATCGTGAGTTCGTGGGACGTCACCGAGCTGAACGTGTGCAAATCACGGAGGTGTCGTACCTTCGGTGCTAGATCGGTTGATCATGAATACGTACGACTACATCAACTGCGTTGTCATAACGCTTCCGCTTACGGTCTACGAGGGTACATAGATGATACTCTCCCCTCTCGTTGCTATGCATCACCATGATCTTGCGTGTGCGTAGGAAAATTTTGAAATTACTGCGTTCCCCAACAGTGGCGTCCGAGCCAGGTTTATGCGTAGATGTTATATGCACGAGTAGAACACAAAGGAGTTGTGGGCGTATGTATATACATATTGCTTGCCGTCACTAGTTGATTCTTGATTCAGCGACATTATTGGATGAAGTGGCCCAGACCGACATTACGCGTACGCTTACGCGAGACTGGTTCTACCGACGTGCTTCGCACACAGGTGGCTAGTTGAATCGGATTCAATGAACATGGTTCTTTCTGAAGATAAAAAAGCAATCACTATACCACGTTGTGGTTTTTGATGCGTAGGTAAGAACGGTTCTTGCTCAGCCCGTAGCAGCCATGTAAAGATTGCAGCAACAAAGTAGATGACGTCTAACTTGTTTTTGCAGGGCATGTTGTGATGTGATATGGTCAAGACATGATGCTAGATTTTATTGTATGATATGATCATGTTTTGTAACAGAGTTATCGGCAACTGGCAGGAGCCATATGGTTGTCGCTTTATTGTATGAAATGCAATCGCCATGTAATTGCTTTACTTTATCACTAAGCGGTAGTGATAGTCATAGAAGCAATAGTTGGCGACACGACAACGATGCTTCGATGGAGATCAAGGTGTCAAGCCGGTGACAATGGTGATCATGACGGTGCTTTGGAGATGGAGATCAAAGGCACAAGATGATGATGGCCATATCATATCACTTATATTGATTGCATGTGATGTTTATCCTTTATGCACCTTATTTTGCTTAGTTCGGCGGTAGCATTATAAGACTATCTCTCACTAAATTTCAAGGTATAAGTGTTCTCCCTGAGTATGCACCGTTGCTACAGTTCGTCGTGCCGAGACACCACGTGATGATTGGGTGTGATAAGCTCTACGTTCACATACAACAGGTGCAAGCCAGTTTTGCACACGTAGAATACTCAGGTTAAATTTGACAAGCCTAGCATATGCAGATATGGCCTCGGAACACTGGAGACCGAAAGGTCGAGCGTGAATCATATAGTAGATATGATCAACATAGTGATGTTCACCATTGAAAACTACTCCATCTCACGTGATGATTGGACATGGTTTAGTTGATATGGATCACATGGTCACTTAGATAATTAGAGAGATGTCTATCTAAGTGGGAGTTCTTAAGTAATTTGATTAATTGAACTTTAATTTATCATGAACTTAGTATCTGATAGTATTTTGCATGTCTATGTTGTTGTAGATAGATGGCCCGTGCTGTTGTTTCATTAAATTTTAATGCCTTCCTAGATAAAACTAAGTTGAAAGATGATGGTAGCAACTACACGGACTGAGTCCGTAACTTGAGAATTATCCTCATTGCTGCACAGAAGAATTACATTCTGGAAGCACCGCTAGGTGACAAGCCCGCTGCAGGAGCAACGCCAGATGTTATGAACACCTAGCAGAGCAAAGCTGATGACTACTCGATAGTTCAGTGTGCCATGCTTTACGGCGAGACTAGGAACCTATTGTTTACCATTTATCATTTCACACGTGCATATGAGTTCTCCACTGAATCGCATATTCCAGGACCATAGCAGTTATAGCATGAAATATAAACTCTTAATTATGAATAATGGAAATATAATAATACAATATTGTTGCCTCTAGGGCATATTTCCAACAGATTCAACACTAAATAAAGTCATGACCTCTCCAAATCCACTTTTATCATTATTCCAATAAGATTCAACACCCTCAAAAATAGTGGGATAATTATCACTTAAAGTTGACACTCATCCAAAACCACTTTCATCATTATAATCGTCATAAATAGGAGACATGCTATCATCATAATAAATTTGCTCATCAAAAGTAGGGGGATTAAAAATATCATCTTCATCAAACATGGCATTCCCAAACTTATGGCTTTGCATATCATTGGCATCATGGATATTAAAAGAATTCATACTAATATCATTGCAATTATTCTTATCATTAAAGGAACTCACACCAAACATTGTGTTAAATTATGTTTTTAACACTTAATAGCAATTATCATAATCCACATTTTGAAGAAAGACTTCATAAAGATTAAGAATTTGATGCAACTTCACTTCCATTTTTTGTAATTTTGTTTTATAAACCAACTAGTGATAAAAAAAATAAACTAAAAGATTCAATAAAGACACCTGAGCAAGCACGACAGGGCCCAATTATCTTACACTCCATTTCAACATGCCCAATGATCCCACATATGAAACAAAAGTCTGGTAGATACTCATATTCAAATCCACGCCACTTCTTTATTATCTCCTTTCTGTCACATCAACTCCTACAACCAAATAAACTAGTTTTTCGTGGAGCAGTGAGATCCTAATATCCAACCTCACTTTTATACATATGAAATGTCTTTCCACCTCATTTTTCAAGCCATCCATTTTCCCAAGGACTCCACCTTATCACTGCTCATCATAGCCATCGACATTCCAAATATCAGAACCCATATGGGAATATTGCTAAACTTATACTCCTCTATAGACTTGATAGCTACATACTCCTCCATTACAATGAGATCTATATCAAACATCCAAGTTCCTCCACCTACAACCTTTCTTTTTTCGCTGATTCTTGATGGAAAGTGATCAGAAACCTATTCTCATCGTGAACTTGCAGTCAATACCTTTCATCGGGCACCAGATCGGACCAAGTGCATTCACTATTGCTTACGCGTAGGTGGGTTTCTCGGCTATCAACTTCCCCACCACCTTTGCTTCCACCACTCCCACTTTGCCAAAATCTCTACACTCGGTGTTGACCCCCTTCTTCTACGCAAACGCCAGTTTCAGCCCACGGCATTCCTTCCACCCCATCCGTACTCCTTTTTACAAATTGTAGTCCAAAACTCTATCTAGGTTTTGTGTATTACGATCACATACTTTAGCCACATGCGAAAAGTCTGGAACGACGTATGGATTTTCTAGGGTTTTGACGGGGACGAGAAAAATAGTGGAGACTACGAGCAGGGACGAGGACCAAAGGGACATATCAAGACTATCATGGGAACAATCGCTAATGAGAACAAGAGCAGTCGACGACGGCGATCAAACTTGGAAACCTAGCCGACGCACCCGAGTTTTCATTAGGGTACCTTAAGGACCTTATCCACTTGTTGTCATCAGAGTTTCGATGGAATCTCTCCAGCTTGATGTTGGTCCTTAACCACTCGTCGTCATCAGAGGGTTTTGATGGACTTTTCGCCATCTTGATGTTTTTACAAACAGAAATGATAAACCGCCATGCTTAAAATCCAAACTTCCGAAACTTACCAGGCTCCTTTACAAAACCTACTAGTGACTTCCAAAACAGTAGTGGGCCTAGCCCAGGAGGAATCACTGACAGGGTGGATGGGCCTACGGTTCCGACGGGCCGCGAGAGAGAGGAATCTGGCTCCCGTCCGTCCCTCCATCCATCGCAAGCCGTGGAGATCCATCCTTCTCTTCTCTCTTCTCCGTCCCTTGCCTTCCCGTGCGAGTCGCCACCTCTCTACCCCCCCTCCCTCTCTCCGCTCCTCTCCCCCCCTCGGTGCAAACCGCGAAAATAGCAGCCGCCCATTCGCACTCCTCCTCCCCCGTGCCGCGATGAGCGACGGCGCCGATTCCGACCGCGACCTCCCGCGCGCCGACGGCGACGACGAGCCGCGCCACCCCCTACCGCGGGCCGCCAAGGAGGAGGAGCCGCCCGTGGCCGACGAGTTCCAGGACGCGCCCCCGTCCCCCGAAACGAACAGCGACGGCGACGGCGAGCGCTCCCCGGATCGGGCGGGGCTGCCCAATGCGGGGGACCGCGGGGAGACCGCGCCGCCCGACGCCGGGGAGGAGGCCGTGGGCGTGAGGGTGGAGACCAACGGCGAGGACGCCATGAGCCACGACGGTGACGAGGGGGACGGCGAGGACGACGAAGATGATGAGGATGATGATGACGAGGAGGACGAGGACGACGACTCCACCCCTGATGCGTCGCCGAGGGCGGAGGTGAAGACGGAGGGCGACGGCTCGGCCGGGATGGCGCAGTGTGCCAGCCAGCAGCCGGTGGAGCCCGACCCTTTCCTCGAGGGTCACGACTCCGGGACGGAGGAGGAGCAGGCGGCGTTCATGTCTGAGCTGGAGCGCTTCCACAGGGAGCACAGCCTCGAGTTCAAGCCGCCCAAGTTTTACGGCAAGGGCCTCAACTGCCTCAAGTGCGCACCCCTCTCGTTTCTCCGAGCTACTCGAACCACATTTTCTCGTCTAAACCAACTTAATGAAGTTCCTTGCGCTGTTCTGTTCCAGGTTGTGGAGGCAGGTCGCTCACCTGGGAGGCCATGAGCAGGTATCAATGATTTCCTTTACATTGCACAACTGAACAGGCACAGACTGGACACGTTCCCGAATCCCGATACTACAGAGTGATTTTCTAGTACCGTGAAAGGGTGGAAGTTCCTCCACATGTTCCACCAATGAATGCAATAACTAGCAAGTAGCTCACCGATGATAACAAATTTAAGGATACTGTGCTTTTGTGCAGAATCCACTGCTCATCTTCTATTGTAAATGCTGTAGTATATTTCCGTTGAACATTGATAGTTATTCACGACGTTTATTTTGATTATTCAGGTAACAGTTTGTAAACTATGGCGTCAAGTTGGAGAGACTTTCAGGCCACCAAAGTAAGCTTTTTTTTTTCAGCGATACATGTTAAACGAATTTGCAGTGAAAGATTTAAATTTTGCGTCAGCTGATTGTTGTTATTGTGTTCTTTTGTAGGACCTGCACTACGGTGTCTTGGTCATTTCGAATTTTCTATGAGAAGGTGATAGATTGCTCGCAGAACTTTGTTACATGTTGTACTTGTCTCACAAGCACATCTTATCCCCACTATGGTAGCTGGGAAGCAGTTTCTCTTGAAACAATATTATGGCATATGGTGCTTTACTGTAAATTTACTCGCTGAACGAAAAGCTATATGCCATTAAAACCTACTAGGATAGTTATTACGAATAGAAATATGGAGCTGAAATGGATCCACTGCAATAGTTAGTGTTCTTAATGGTTTAGGAACCAAACAGATATAACTATAATACTTGCTTCTTTTTCATTTCATAGAAACTGATGTACTTTACTTCCATATTTGATACTCCCTCCCTTCTGGTTTGTTAGTCTCATCTAAAAAAGATTGATTTTCTGTTTTGTAAGGCTCATTGCTTTAGGAACAGGTAAACTTTTGCTATGGCTACATTAAATTCTGTCAAATTTTGTTTCTTGATGTGGAATCAACTAATGCATGAAGGGGAGAGGTGGATATGCATGTAGCGTTAGTATGCTGTTTACCTCCTCCTTTCCGGTTTAAAAGGCCCAGGTGTACCCTAGATCGACAATTTGATAAATGCAGTACAAATTGTATGTCATAAACGGTATGGCATTAGAAAATACATTTGAAGTTTCTAATGGTTATTCTTTTGTGATATATAACTCGTGTTACGTTGATCAAATTGTCAATCTAGGTATAAACGTGGGGCTTTTAAACCAGAAAGGAAGTAGAACCACCTAATTAGCTTTATCTTGGTTGCTGCGATTTTGGAGATGGGACTAGCAAATCAGATGGGAGGGAGTAGATGATACTTCCTCTGTCCCATATTAATTGACGCTAAAACGGATGTATCTAGCACTGAAATACGTTTAGATACATCCGCTTGAGCGTCAATTAATATGTGACGGAGGGAGTATTTATCTAAGACTTAATATCCTTCAATTTCCTTATTTCGTGAGATGCCATCTCGTGATATACATGAGAGAGTTGGGGTGGCGCCGATTGAAGAGAAGCTTGTCCAACATCGTTTGCGATGGTTTGGGCATGTTCAGCGCAGGCCTCCAGGAAGCGCCCGTGCGTAGAGGACGGTTAAGGCATGCTGATAATGTCAAGAGAGGTCGGGGTAGACCAAACTTGACATGGGAGGAGTCCGTAAAGAGAGACCTCAAGGACTGGAATATCACCGAAGATTTTGCCATGGACAGGAGTGCGTGGAAGTTAGCTATCCATGTGCCAGAACCATGACTTGGTTTCGATATGTTGTGGGTTTCAACTCTAGCCTACCCCAACTTGTTTGGGACTGAAAGGCTTTGTTGTTGTTGTGAGATGCCGCCTCGTCAGTTTCCGGATGGAATAAAAGAAGAAAAACACTATTCTAAGCTTATGTATTTCCATGTTATGTTTATGCATTTGCTTCATTTGTTGTTAACTGTTGTTTCTTATCAACTCAGGCACTTCTTGAATATGAAAAACACAAAGTACGAACTGGCCAGCTTAAAATATCGATACCTGCTATACCACAACCTGGTGGTACAAACCGTGAGGTATTTATCTTGGGAAGTAGAGTTTTAACTATATATGAATTTTTGCAGTTCACTTTCTAGTTTGGTGCACATATGAAAGTTTAATGGGTTGACATACCCCTGTCTAAAATATTAAGGATTTCAAATTCATATTTCAATCTAACTGAAAATCAAGGAAATGTTAAGATTTGTATCAAAATACTGGCTTCTTGTTCTGTCGCCACTGATTTCTTGTCCTGTTGAACTATTTTCCACATGACACAATATTATGCCTGCTTCCACTATTCCAAGGAATAATGGAACATGTCAAGTTCAGTGCATACCATACCAAAAGGAAATAACAAAACTCTTGTTGCTTCCAGAGTGAGGCTAACAGAACTCAAAACAAACTTCGCAGCTACACAATCACAGAAAATATGGTATATGTTCTCAGTGTGTGAGCGGAAACGACAGATTTCATCCCCTTCCCATCCCTTTCTTCAGTGTGTCATTAGTGACCTATGCCAAGTAAGCGACAACCAAATTCTGACTTTCAAAGGAATTCTTTCTTTCCATAAATGTTTAAAAGATTTATCGGGCTCAGAGCTGGATTGGTGTACATATATTTCACAGTCGAAATTAACACAGTTTTATGTTAGGATAGGAACTATTTCAATGAATGCCTTTAAGATATCTAACATTGCCGAGAATGTTTTGCTGTCACCTGCTAACATTAGTAAGCTTGATGATTTTGTTTCCTGTTTCGCAGGGTGTAAATCCATCATCTTCTGCAAGAATTAGAAGGGATGCTGCAGCACGTGCTATGCAGGGTTGGCATGCGCACCGTCTCCTTGCCAATGACATGTATGGAGATCACATTTTTAAGGTAAATAATATCTTGACATTTACTTGCACATACTTTGATTTTCCTATAATTTTGATCTTTTCATGCAAATATATTCATTTTTCTACAGGACAAAGACTCAATACCCCTTTCAAGTCGTGATAAGAATCTGAAAGGCTTTGGTATGCTTCACAAGTATTTCTGCGTTAGCATGTGATGCTTTCTTCTCTTATATCTTTCTGGCATTTCAGGGGTACTCAAGAGGAAGAAAGCATCTAGTCCAGAGCGTGCTTTCAAGGTCTCCCGTACAAAAGTGAACAAGTCACAGTTAAGACCTCCCATCATCTCAGTTGGCTATGTTTACTTCAGCTGTTAACATGATAGACAGAAACTTACAATCTCAAGAATTTAGCAGATTGAAAGCATTAATTAACCTTTAATAGCAGTTATTTAAGTTTTACTTACACATACATGGTTCGTTTTAAAGTGCAAGCAGAATCTTTTTACTGTGAAGAAGTTGCATTTGCTTATGTGCTCTCTATCTTGCGTCTGCTGTTGCCTATGTTCAAGAGATCGAGAATCTTACCTGCTGAATGGACCTAGCAAAATAAGAGTTTAAACATCCAAATTTTGTTTATGCTGAAACCAATGGGAATTAACAGGCATGCTCTCCGAATATGGCATGACATGCAATAGACAACTTGACCCCTGAAATGGCACTCCTCAATTTAATAAGGAAAATCCCAAAATTATAGGACCTTATAGTAGGATTGAACTTGACAGAAGAATCCATGGATTTGGATGTTATGTCTATAATGCATGTTATTATATGTAAAGTACTGCCCAATTTCAGGGAAGATTCTATGGTCATTGATGTTGGAGAACCTGCCGATTGGGTGAAGATTAATGTTCGTCAAACTGTAAGTGTCAACATTTTTTTTTAATAAGGTGGTGCACGAATATTAAATGAAGTGTCTTGATAGTCTGAAATATTAAACAATTTCTTAAGAGTCGTTTCTCATTGTGAAATTCCATTTGGATTTGAGCTGAAACTGCTACATTTTGTTACTGCTTTCATGCAGAAAGAATGCTTTGAGATATATGCGCTAGTTCCTGGGCTTCTAAGGGAAGAGGTGAGATTGCATCTCAGCTGCCACACTTCATCATTGATCCAAAAATAAAATAAAATCTGTGCAACATAAACAAAAAGAGCTTGTCACATGAAATTGAGTCTACGCCAGGGATAAAATATTAATTCTTGTTCCAACTGGCGCAGGTGCATGTTCAGTCTGATCCTGCTGGACGCCTGGTTATAACTGGGGACCCTGACCAGCCTGATAACCCTTGGGGCATCACTGCATTCAAGAAGGTGATTGTTTATAAACATTTAAACACATAAATAGTTGGGTACTTCCTCAACTTAACACGAACTGATTGTTCTGTCTCAGGTGATCAACTTGCCTTTAAGGATTGATCCGCATCAAACATCAGCAGTTGTCACGCTTCATGGCCAGCTATTTGTGCGTGCCCCATTTGGGCACCCGGACATGTAGATATGCATCCTGTTCACTTCAGTTTTCTTCAACTACTGTACCAGTGGTTTTCATGCATATTTATAGGTCTGTGTTTGGCTAAGCCAGCTTATTCCTTTCTTCAACGCTGAAACTCAGTACTGATCTGATGACAGGCTTTCTGTTTCATGTGCAGGTTTTAGAAGAAAAAATGTTGCAGAAGTAGGATTTGGTTTGCCAAACTGACATAAGCAACTGCAACCCATAGCCGGCGCTGCAATCTTTTCTCTTGTGGTTGTTTATAGTGGTACACATAAATTAGTTGGTTCACTCCTGGATTTTAATATTTAGCGACAGATATTTCTTTTCATTTTTTTTCTTCTGAGAGAGAAACAACACAAAGCTGGAAATAGATCAAGTGAAGGATTAGTTTCTTTACTTTCTGTATTTTTTCTCTCTATCTTCTATAAACCGTTACTGGGCAGAGTTCAGTTTTGAATCTAAGTTTATATGTATACGGCGATTCCCTCATTTTTCGAGTTGAGTAGCACTGTTCATTAATCTTGTTGGTTGCTGTCTCAAGAAAGTCTATGAATATCCGCTATCCGGTACTTTCAACTCGACGATGGTATTCCAGGTAGAGCACATTTCACATGTTAGGTGCACTTGGTAGCAACCAAAAGCGTTAAATAGGAATCAAGTCTAATGTTGAGAGGTTGAGGAAATTAGAAATCTGTCATAATGAATTGCTCATATTTGATTTCTATGATGAGGGAAATGCACATTCTAAAATCGGACTAAAAGTTTTTGCGGATTGTGACATATTTTTTGGTAAAATGGTACTCCCTCCGTCCCATATCCTACTTGTACCCTATCTACAGAGTTGCTCGTTTATTCCCTCCGTCTGGTAAAGAGTGTACATCTAGCTTTAAAATTTATTAACAAAAGAGTGTACTTCTATCTTTCCAATGCACTTTAAAATAGGAAAAATATTTCTTCTTTATCACATGATAATCAAGACCAATAACAATCTACACATGGTCCTCTTAATTTCTATATGCACTTAGCTCATTGGGGGTTGGGTAATTAAAAAGAAGAGAGATGATGGCTTGCATCTTTCTAATGCATTTTTTAGCCAACTCCATAATTTGTCCTAAAATTTCTAGATATACATTCTTTACCGGACGAAGGGAGTAGCTCTTTCCAATTTCCAAAGAGGGGCCCTCGTTGGCTCTCTCGCTCATATAAGGCACTTTTTTGTGTGTTATCCTTCACCGTTGATTTTCACATGAGCATTGCGTCAATACCACCCCATTCTAGCATGTGTACATGCCCACTTTCGACATTTGTGTGACTTGTTGAAAATGATTGGCCCGAATAATCTTCACCAAAAAAAAGTATCATCTGAAAATTTGAGACCGCAAGCCTCCACCACCACTCCTATCAAATCCACCTGGTTGTGTGCTAACCTATGCCACCGACTCTCACATGGGGTCATCAGCTTATACAACCCCTTTTCGTATGTGTCCATGTCTCATATCATCCGACAAGTTAGACCACGGTTGGCATATTATTGGAAATGTTCTTTACAACCAAACGTCATCAAATATAATCCGAAGAAGTTGAAACTATGAGACCCGTGATGGCATTGCAGTAAACCGGTCCAAGAGCCACCCCTTCTCGCCCTTCCTCATACCCCAATCTTGCCACCTCCATCTCGTGCGCCATGTTGCCCTATTGTCCCTGTCATCACCCCGGTAATGTGTTTTCAATATTATTGTGTCGTATTGTAAAAAATGGTCAAACAGTTTATCTGACTACTCTTCATCAATTATCATTCAAAAGGCAGAAACTGCGAGACCCAAGACGTCATTGCAATAAACGGTTCAAGAAGCAAACAAGTGGCCATTGAGGCCTTTTTCATGTGAACCAACTAATGTGATATGGACACCAAGACAGGTAAACAAAAAACCCAAAAAGCACAGTACAAACGTGGATCCAACAATCACCGAGCTTTGTAGAGCCAGGGGCACAAATGCAAATATTATTGTGTTACTAGGAGATACTTAAAAAACGGAGTGTTGGCCTGCACGGTGGAAAAGGCGCATTGAATATCAAATGCCCAACAAACTGCTTGTGTGTTAATTTGCTTGGGTTGTGCATCCACGGTACACCCGCCGTAAGATCTGCATCAATATGCATCTTGCCGGTCGATGCTCCTTGGCCCTGTTTTACCTAGACTAGCCAAGTACTCGCCATTGCTATGAAACAACATAAAACACATAGGCAAATTGGTCAACATTTGTTTTATGACCAAGCACAACTCAGTGTATATCGTGTGTGTCCTTCATCATCCTCTCTGTCTTTCCTCCCATGAACAACCCATACCACTTGTGCCATTGGGTGTAGCATTTTCGTGGATATCGTCTTCAATCACTATGGCTAGAATCCTCTTGACACACTACAAGTTGAAACTGCTCCAATTAGCGTTAATTTTGAATCATATATATTCCTAATCCTATTGAAAAACACCAAATGTATCCCCAGGTTCACATACTTTGCTCACTACCTATGATAGCCGTGTTTTCCGGATGAGGACAGGTATGTATGTGAGTTATATATTAGGAATCTATTTCAAATGTACACTAACGCTATAGGGATAGTGTGCCACATGCCCCTTATTCTCTCCTTTGTGCGGCTATCACCTCCATCTCTCACCGGTGACAACAATACTCCTCTTGCTCCCCCCTTCGCCCACTCGTGTTGTCATTGTGAAGTGGTGCCTTGATAACCATTCCAGTAAGCTTGGGAGTGCTTATTACCCCACCAACGCTAGTTAGACAAGCATGTCTAGTCAAACCCATTCTCCTCATCCTCTTTCTCCCCTTCTGCATTAGGACATGTGCTCATTTAATTAGAAAGAAAGGTTACATCAAAGTGCACAAATAATCACACTTATATAAGCAACTTCACCACATTGCCATCCAACAACAACTTTGTTGCCTCATTACTAACATCAACCACTTTCTTGCCTCATTAACAATTTAACACATTAATAAACTTTAGTTTAACACCAGAATGACAAAGATAATGATGAGATGACATAGAAAATAGTCAATAACCTACCAGATGGTAGGAACACTCCAGAGGACCTCCCCAACATGCGAATTGTACGATATTGTGGTTTTGCCCTCAACACCTATCACAAGCATTAAGACCTACAAATTTTAACGTTATCCAAAGAAAAAGATTTAAAATGACCAGAAAAAGGAATCAACACACACAATTCTTAGAGAGTACAAGAAGGGGATTTTCTATCTAATAGATGTATCATATACCCTCGTTACACCGGTGCCGAAAAATACGTCGAGCATTAGGACTTGTCATAGAAAGAAAACTATACACACAACACTAAATTAGTTTGTCTGTTAATAAATGAAATTGTAACCATGCAATTGCTCCTAAAAGAACGTGAAATCATTGCAAGCAATGTGAAAATTGTTCTGGGTGGAAAATGGGCATTGAGATTATTGGTTTAATAATACCATAAATAGTGTCAAATCAATGGACTGCAACCAGCCGATAATACTCGACAAACAGTAAGTTCCGATGGGGAGGAATTATAGTTATGTCCTTCATAAATTTGAAGCTGAGTGGTACCCAATCTGATAGTCGAGTACTGTTTGCTCATCCTGAGCCTCATGCAACAAGAAAGTGTGTTTAAATGTGCAAGGACAAAAAAATTAAGGTGTGACACATAAAAAAGAGGCTAGTGATATCTACATCTATATCTAATAATAAAGGGACTATTGCTTCTGGTTGTCCGTCATAAGATTAGCCCTAAAGTTGACAGAAATTACTCACTATGCCACCCATAAGTGAAAAAAACGATTCATTTTTTCCATTCACAAGTGTTCGTCGCCTTTGGATCATTACAAAAGATCCCCTTCTGTATCACGAGCACATGGGCATCAAGGTGGCTAGAACTCAGCATGGGAGACCGGGTTCGGGCCCGACTACTCCCCTTTTCAAGTCCTTCTTTTCTTTTCTCGGGCAGATTGAAATGCCTTTCAAAATTACATAACTTTCAAACCATAACTTCAAATTTAACATGTTATGTATGAAAATTCTCCAAAAAAATATGAAGATTTCAAATATACTATTGTCTTGCGTGTTAATCATTTCTAAAATTTTGTTTAGGATGCAATCTTAATTAATATCTTCTTCATATGGGGTATTTTAGAAATACCTATTATTTTTGTTGTCTAATAAATTGAAAACACTTTGAGTACACTTTAAAATCACCCCGCCTGTTTTTTGCGCAACACAACTTATCATGTTGTTTCTCATGAGGCATTGTGAAAGATTTCAAGGGATTTGCTGCTGTTGTCACGTGCGTGTGTAAAGGGTGATTTTTTTTCTTCCGTTGCGACGCACGAGCATGTTTTGCTAGATACGACTATATAGTTTATCTCCGTCAGACATTCCATTTATCTTCCTCGATTATTCTTCTTTGACACTTAAAAATATGTTAGAAACAGATGTGTACATCATGTGCTATTTTTGCATGTGCAATTTAGTATATCTAGATCCGACAATGCTTCATGACACACCTTACTGATCAAAGTGAAAAATCAATATTTTTCTTATGTTTGGCTAATTGTTATGTCTCAAGACCTATAACAATATTAGTTGTAAGAGACTTGTTGACCTAAGGCAAAACTAAGTGAAGGTAAGGGGACATGCGATATAAAGGAAAAAGTTATTAGGAGGTGCTATCAACGCAGAAATGTTCTTATTGGTGAATGTGATGTGATGGCATAAAATGTCACCTCTTCATTATCAATGATAATTTAGTGTATGTTCTATTACGAAAATTTGGCAGAAGTCCTCTGCCAAATGATGTGACTAGTAGGAAGCCGTGTTGTAGGACCGGAGAAGATAAGTCAAGAGGGGGTGAATAGACTCTTAACCAACCAAATGTGCAGTTTTTAGTTTTCTTAAAGTTTAGGCAAATTTTAGCACTAGTTAAGATATCACCA